TGGGGACTCGAACCCGGGCCTCACTGGTGCAAAGCGAGGAAAGAACCACCATGCTAACCCGCTCCACCTAATGAATGACCTTGTTAGACCATTTGGGTATTTTGATTCCTCTACACCGAGTGTTTGTCCAGGCTCTCCCTAGCGTCATCATTTGCTTTTGTGTATTTCTTGGTTTTTCCAAGATGTGGGCCATTCCACTCCTGTTTCACCATCAATCGTCATTTTTCTACAGCATGTAGCTCTTAAACATCGAGGTCGTTTTTATTGAATACATGAATAAATGCCATTGATTGTGCGGAAGATGCCTCAAGATCCCTAAAACATGTTCCAACTCACATCCTTCAAACTGAAACAGGAGCAATTCAAAAGTTGCCAACCAGTATAAGTAAATTACGACGGTTCTCACCCATGCAAGTGAACACACACGCTCATTCTCTAAAATACAGAAGAGTCCACAGTCCATTTTATTAAAATTACGAATACTTCGTGTTAATTCAACACAAACGAGCGTTAATACCTAAATTCACTTAATACAACAAATGAACTACAATCTAAAATTCAGAAATCCCTTGTATTCTAAAATTGTTATCATTCAGAATAACAACGAAATTCTTCAAATAAAGTTGAGAAATTTTACCGGAACTAAAAAAAATGGTGCAAGAGTTAATTAGCACAATAACAGCTCAGTTTCACAAAGTGGGACAATACTAAAATTGACTTTTATGTACAATTAACAATTCATGTGCAAGGTTGAACGTCTACAAAATCATGGCATATGGAAAAAAAATCAAACATTTATGGTTGAAAATGTTTTGTCCTTTCAAACATGTATTTTGAAAACCTGAAAACAAAGTTTTGATTACTTAGAACAAAATTAACACAGTACACACAACAGACACAACATGTTGATAAAATGTAGCTTCAAATATGCATATTTACAAATAGCCATTAGGAACAATCTTTATAAAAAATACTGAATCTGAATAATGTTCCACAATTCAAAACTTATTTGCTCATTGAAACTAGCAGTGATGCAGTTTGGGACAGTCACATCATAGCAGGAATTAGATCTTTAATAAGTAGTAAAATTTGGCTTCTTGGAAGAAATGATCAGAATTTCAGTGGGCATTTTCTGTTAAAAAGAGGGCACAAGATTTTCTCTAGATTTGATATGGAATGTACAGGTATAATGGGGTTCTCAACAGTGCCAAGAACTGCTACGGCCAGTTTGAAAGCCTTCATTAAAAAGGTTCTCATTCCAAACTGACCGTTCTGTAAAGGGCTTCATTTCAGCATCACAACTGAGGTAGTCTAAAAATCTTTGCAAAATCACACAATGCCGTCAAAATTCATGTTCAACTTCGTAAGCCCTTATTCACGAAAAAACCTCACCGGTTGTACACTGAAGATGAGACTATTGGATTTCATTCCCTGTGGAATTTTACCCCTTTGTGACCTGCGACCTTTAACCTGTGACCGCATCAATTCATCTGGACCTCCTCTGTCTTGACCACTTCCTCCTTCATGGTCTTGGCCGGCTGCTCTTGGCCCCTGGCGTCCGTCCTGTCCTCCCTCGCCTTGGCGACGATGCACTTCTTGATCTCACGGCCGATGGCGGCAGCCATGGGCGGGGGGACAGCATTACCCACCTTCAGAAGAAACCCCAAAATATCTTTATCACTCATTCGTCATCAGCGCCCTTAAGAAGCAAGTAAAGGGCTGATTCATACTTCCAAGGAATGCAAACTACAAATTTGGCTTCCAAAAGCATTCACAGCCAAATTCTGTGAAGGGTCAACTGTTTTCATTCGGGTCACGAGTTTACATTCAGGTCCACTTTCCTGTCCACTACAAAGCAACCAGTGAGTCCCAAGAAATGAAATTCTGAAACTTCTGTGTCACTGAACAGCACAGAAGGAACATTTGAATGGTTCATGGCAGCTAACATTTGCAAGCTGCACTGTCATTTTTCCCTGAGGCCACAAGTTAGGCACACAATCTTTCAATATTCATTATATACTTCAACCCCGTATGTACCGTAATACTTTTGAAAACTGCGCCGAGATCCAAAATCATCAAAGCTTACTACTGCAGAGCAGAGTGAAATGACAACAGTATCCCTTCAGTCAAGATCAACTTCTGCCGGTTTCACCTCTAATCCCTGCAGCTATGTCTTAAAGCATGGACACAACTTCCTCAAATTTCCCAGTCTTAGGAGGACAAGTTTGTTTTTCAAAGTCCACCCACCTGTCGGTGTTTTTCCAAGATCGTCCCAAAGAAGCGATAAGTGTCTGGGAAGCCCTGGGACCGGGCACACTCCCGCACGCTGACCACACGGTGTTGCTCAGGGTGGAGCACTCGACCCTGGAGCAAGACAAAACAAAATGGCCCAGTTATCGAGGAACATCTTTGGATAGAAGTCTATACAATTAACTTCAGAGCTGTAGCCAAGTCCTTGCAAGTCCTCCACAGGTCATCCAGTCTTAAGCCAAGTCACAAACTCTTCAAATGAATTGTGATAAAAGCGTTCCTTTTTTCATCATTCACCCAGCTACTTTTGAGCGGTCTTGTGAAAGGACCAGTGACAGACTAGCCTATGTTTAGTGAAAGTTTCACTTTTCAGTAAACGTTTAGCCAATACTTTGCACATGCAGTGAGCAAATAAACTTAATACAGGGGTGTGAGCGGCCACTTAAAACTAAAGCTGAAAACAACTAACTAAGAGCTGAAATTTAAACAATTTCCCGTACTTTTGTGTAGACCAGGTGTACAAAAAAGCTGAAATTCAGGGTCAACATCTAAACAAAAAAGATGAAATCAGCTAAAAAGCTGAATTCTCACACCCCTGTTAATAATACATTTGGACAGGCAAGCCAAAATTTACAAGCCCCAATTTTTCTTTTTAGATAAAGACCAAGTCTTCACCCTTCCAAAGCACTGGGAGTGAGCAGGAAATACATCCTCAGAAAGCAAAAAGTTACAAAAGTTTCCTTGGAGAGGACGGGCAATTTTGGGAGCTTGGCAGGGAAGGGACAGGCAGATATTTCAATCCTATATGAAACCCTGAATATCAGAATTTCAAAACAAGGTTCTGTTAAATATCGAACAGATTTAGAAATGGTAGATTTGGAAGTTGTAGGAATGTGGGAGAGTTTGGAACATTTTGGTTAGTTAAAATTATATAGGGAATGTAAATTCAGGATAGATTTGACATTTTTGAGTTTGCCATACCTGCTTGCCCATTGGCTCTGGGTTGGTCACTGTGGTGCTGAAGAATCCATCCCACTCTAGGCGACCATACAGCCCTGCCCAGTGGTTGTGCCGGTTACCAGTATGTGGCAGGCACCAAGGAATCAGCGTGTTGAACTGGCGATAGGCCGGGTCGCACTTCTCACCCTCAGCACAGGAGCAGACGCCTCGCAGGGCACCGTTGCTGGAGTAGCCGTTCTTCTTGTCTTTGTGAGTGTAACGCCTACAGGAATAAAACGGGGTAATTTAGATCTTAACCCTAATAGTCCCAAATCCTCCAATTTCAATAAGATGTTACATACACCCTTCGTGGTTAGGGTTAAGGTGTGCAGAAATTTTATTGATTTGCCCATCAACGATTCCTTAAAAAGATCACACAGTAAAGAAATGCAAACTATTTTAATTTGCACAGAAATAGTCAGCTTAAGAAATACTCAAATAAGACTGCTCAACTCAATGGCATTACCATGACAATTGCCTTCACTAACAACTTGTGAGCTGTCAAACCTTCAAAAGTTAACCATTTTGCTACTGCCACTGTGGAGACTTTGACAGACGAAGTGAATCAAAGAATAGACCCTGAACACCAAAACATCACTGTGAGGATCCTCGCGTGAGTTCCCCTGCCACACCAATGGCATGGGCTTCTGTGCACATTTTGTTGAAAATTCCCCACATGCAATCTGCACCATTCCCATGAGCAAATGTTCAAATGCAAATGAGCAGGTCAGGAGGCGCTATCTTCACAGCAGAGACTCTGTATTATCAAACCCAGTGTTGTATTCGAGTCGATCACAACTCCCTGTGAGCCCATCATAAATCCATCACAAGTCATCCAGTCTTAAGCCAATTCGCAAGCTATTAAAATGAGGTGTGAGAGAAGCATTCTTTTGGCATTGCTCACGCTGTTACTTCTGACTGGCCTTGTAAAGGGACTTCAAACTGGACTTGTGAAGGGACTTGAGAAATGACTTGTGTTGGACTCGATTACAACACTGATCAAAACCACTTCACAGGGAACTCACAGCTTGCGACAGACAGTCCCATCCGGCAGCGTGATCTGAATGTTGGGCAGGTCCCTCCAGTCGGAGCCAGGAGCCAAGGGAATGTGCCGCATTCGGGTGGCCACCAACTGGCTCATCTCTTTGCAGATGTGATCCCTGAGGATGGGCTGGTACTGGTTGCCACGGATCTACAACAAACCAAGACAACACCCCAAACTATCAAACATCTAATCTAATTAAGTAGGTAGAGCACCGGTACAGTTTTCTGGAGGTCCCGGGTTCAAATCCCACTCCGGTCAATTTCTGTGTTCATGTTAATAAAAATCTTATCTGTGTTCCGGACAGTGTCCATTACACAAATCAACTTTGCCTGAGCACTGGACAACTCTAAGATGTCCTCGATTGGCTTAGCACAGGTAAGTAATTTTCTTCTGTGTGACAGGTCAAATTTTGCTCTTTTTCGTCACACAAAAAACTTCCCAAAATCTACTTTTTTAGAGATTTACAAATGATAAAACCACTAAAAGAACTGACCTTTCGCTGGAATGCAGACTGAGGCTCTCCGTCATAGGAGATCTCCAGTTTCTGCTGGCCATTGTGGATCTCTGGGAGGTCAGACATGGCCGCCCGCACCGTGACGGTCCTGTACGGCGCTGACTCCAGCCAGGAGATGTTGCTGCCGATCTTGCGCTCGTCCACCATCACGCTGAGCTGGCAGGCGCGTGGCGCAAAGACGTGGTCGGGCTCCGGGTAGAGGGGCAGCTTCTGGCCAGGAGCGGCAGCCAGGATGATGGCCCGACGGCGTGTCTGGGGGACGCCGTAGTGACCGGCTTGCAACACACCAAAGGTGCACTGAAACAAGGGTGAATGGGGAAATTGGAGAACAGGGAGAATGGAAATATTCTGTTCGCACCTGCTGTTCCTAAACTGACAGCAAAGTCATCAAGTGTATTCAATCTGGTTTGAAATTTATGTTCAGCACTCCATTATTCTTCAAATGAGTGTAGTTCTAGATCTGCATTTTGAGGACTAAAATATAGCAAATCAGAAGCTTGTAAAATACTAAGTTTCACAACCACTTCAGTTTTTGTGAGTGGGTGATGCTCAGTAAACACGTTGCCAGAAACATGGAAACATGGGGTCCAAAATTACTTTTTGGGAGCCAAAACAATTTGACAATTTCTTTGTTTAACAATTTAATGGCCTTTCTGAGTGACTGAATTTTTTTTACTTGCTTTTGAAAGGAAGGGAAACGAAAACCTCCCACAAAATTGCGGTTCAATTTTTTTTCACAAAGAATTGAAAAATAAAATAAAAATTGCTAGGGGTGTAGCCCGTTCCCCCATCAACCAATAGCCTGAAGGAATAATCCAAATATTTGCTCAATATCAGTTGCAAAAAAAGATGTATAACACACCTGGTATCCCATGCGAACCAGGCATCTCAGCGCCAGCTTGAGAACCATGTTCTTCTTGTAGGACACAAAGTTACGAACGTTCTCGAGAAGGAAAAACTTGGGCCGGTAATAATCGCAATAGCTGAGGTATGACGAGATGAGTGAGTTCTGTGAAATGGAAAAATGGTAGAAAAAATCAATAAAATTACGTGGAAATGAAGATGATAATCATACGGAGAGTTTTTACAGGAATATGCCACACGGACCTTCTTAAATATTTACTCTTTAGGTTGGGTTGATGATAGGGCTGAGTCAATTCGAATAATTCACTATCCGAATATTCAACCTTCATTTGACCGAATATCCGAAAATTCGGTCATACCGACCAGCAGATGAACAAACCATATACAAAATCAGTTGCAATAAATACACACAATTGTACATTATAATCAATATAACAGCTTCTCACATCTAGGAGTATCTCCAGCCACGATTTAGCAAGATTTAAGAGATGAACAATACTTCTTGCCCAGTTGAAAATTTCTATTCCTTTTAAATTATTTTATGAATAATTTACTTTTTGAATTGTTGACAGATTTATGTTGCTTTTCATGTAAATCTGCCTGAAACAAGCCTCCATAGTGCATTTTTTCTCATTTAAACAAAAGAAAAAGTTCCTTTGCTTTTGAAGTTTCCTTTCGAAATTCAAATTCGGAAAATAATATTCGAATCTTAAATAATTGATCAAATATTCGGTTATTCAGCACAGCCCTAGTTGATGACATAATGTCTGCTGTCTAGCAAAGGATGTAAAAGGAAGCTATTTGCGAGTTAAATTTGAATAAAATTTGGTACACTGAGGTCTTTAAATTCACATGAACATAACTTGAATTCTCCACACTAAAAGCACTGTTGCTATACCTCATGATTCGGGGCAAGCTTTTGGTTAGTTACATAAGAGATGCCTTGCACCAACACACTGTTCCCAATGGATAAGAACGGCACAAGGGAACCAGTCCATTCCAGAGATGGTGGTCGCTATGCGAAAGCTTGCCCCGAATCACAAGGTATAGCAACAGTGTCTTTAGTCTGGGGAATTTAAATTGTTACATTTCTGTGCAATCAGATAACACAGTGTACCGGATTTTATTCAAATTTAACTCGCAATAAGTGGGTTATTGAGCCATCTTTTGCAGTGTGAGCTGTGAGAAAAACTACCCACATACCCTTCAACAAGGCATACAATGCATACACTGAATTATGATTCCTACTGTACAACCTTACCCAGAAGTGTGGTTCGTTGTGGAGCAGATACTAAAACAGGTAACTCAGTGACCCATTTTACAGTACACAAATCACTCAAGTCGTTAGATTACCAAAGTAAATACTTCACATGCACAATTATGAGCACATGAATGGCATTAGCGCGAGAACCCGCACGGGGGTGTGTTCCATTTGACTGCACTACACTTCCTGGTTCAAAATGACGTCACGCTTGGTACTCGATACAGTCAATCACTGTCACCATTTCCAAGACGTTCATATTGGGTAAACAACAACTCAGCTGGGCTATCAAACTTAACCCCTTCGCGCCGGGAAGCGGCTATCGGCACCGTAAAAATAGAGATCCTCAGCCCACTTTTCAGCTTTAATTCTCGGCCCACGCTCGAGTGAACACGGTGAAAGAAGGCAGACCCTGGCTCTTGTATATATGGTAATTGGTCTTTGTGCGAAGCCCAGAAATGAAAAGACCGATTTTGCATCATAATCACCAGCTTCACAATAGTCCCCACTTTGAAAAGAGGCAACGGGAATGTGGAAGGATGAGTAGAGCCGCATGCCACCGAACAATCGGCCTTTTCACCGTGTAATTCAAAGCGTGCAAAGCACGCAGGGCCACAAACCGAGAATTTGCAGTTTGGCAGGTGGCATTCGTGGCCAAGCTAGGCTGGAATTCTTGGAGTCGGCTTTCGGGAAGAAATTCCCATCATCAAGGGGTTAAGTCCACACTATAAACGTAGCTCTCATGAAAAATCAAGCCAACATTTGTTGTCAAAGTTACCCATCTTCCAAGACGGCCATCCTTCTTGGAACTTCTTCGTGAGGACACTTGCCTTAAACTTGGAGTATTCCCTTGAGTTAAAGCGATTCATGCCGCTGAATCCCTGGCAGGGCGGACCACCGCACAACACGTCAACCTCTTCCCGCTGGGGCAGCTTCTGCCCTCGGTCGTTGGTCTTCTCACCCTGAAGGTGACATGGATATTCAAATCAGAAAGGATGACACTTTTGAAGTTGTTCACCATCATGCGACAACAGTGTGCATATTTTATGAGACCTACCTGGCCTAGTTCTGCTCTCAGAGGCAGAACATCTAACCCAAGTGCAGCATGACTTAGTTACTTTTAAGTGGTTTCGCAACAAAACAACACAGTCACTACTGGGGACATAGTTCTCAACACAGCATAATACAGTATTGAAGGAGTTCTGCTATTCCCAACCCTTTACTAGAACTAAGAGAAAGACCCAGTTTTACAGTACCAACGGTGCAGTTTTTTGCAGAATAGAAACTCTGTCTCTTCACTGATACTGCAGAAGGTTAACGCACGTCAACTTCATAACCAACTTTTTTTCTCATCAGTGACACAATACCCATGCAATGGCCATGAACAATATTTTTCCGGTTGAAACAACAATCTCTTATGGCTATGGCTAGTGATGGTTTCTGCTTACCTCCATGACCAAACTGAGCAGCAGATTGCAGTCCTCAGTGAACACCGTGCTGCCTGGATTGTTGAGTCTGTAAGCCTGAGCAGCCGGCTCATCAATCTCAATGGCCCACTTGCTCTCGCACAGACCAGCCTGGTGGAAGCCCTCTGACAAGCCTGACATGGTGTATTTCCAAACATGCAAGAAGGTTAAAAATTTAACTAAAAACTCTCAGAGACAATGTGAACAGCCGTCAAATTAAGTCTCTGTATGACAAGATCCAACAAGTCACCATCTCAATGCTGAACATATCGAACAAAATGTGCCTTTAAAGCAATTTTGTTTTAGTTTGCAAAGAGCAAACTGAGCGGTATTCTGTATGTATCACTTAGTCGGACACCTAATGAATATGGGCATGATTTGGGTGAAAGATGTCAAGGGACCCTTTCTGCTTTTCATTCTACCAGATTCCTTTAAAAGTCTTTAACGCAAAGTGAATGAGGCATTTTGTGGTAATAAACTGAACCGGAGTTAAAGATAAAGCAAACACAGACAGAAACTTAGGAGCATATGAAACAGAAGGCCATCCCAAGAACATTTCGCTGCGCAGCAAATATACAATGATATCTAAGACTTCCATAACATTTTCTTCTTCTACCCCTAAAGCCACGGATAAAGTCTCATTACCTCCACATCCAGCAAACACGTCCAGCGATTTAAGTTTCTGGAAACACATTTCTTCTTCCTCTTCTGACTTGACGGTTTCCTCAGACGATTTGCTCTTTCCTTTCCCCTTGCCTTTTCCCTTACCCTGAGCAGAGAAGACAAAATTTTCAAAATGATGCTATGATTAAACTGGAACATGAACACCTATCAAAAAACTAATAAGAATATTTCATAACGTTCAAATTAGCACTAACTTAGAACATTACCTACTGTCGTGATTTTTTTAAATAGACCACTTAGCATGAGAGTAAACGATAATGTCAATTACGAATATCTTTATATCTATTCGTGCCCACACTGTCTTACCTTCCCTTTGATGCTTGTGTTGCGTGCCTCTGGAGGCGGATCTTCGAACTGTCTGGTTTCACTGTTGTAAGCCTGGAAAGATATTTACTTTTATTTATCGGTGTCTCAATTAAATGCATTTTTACAGCTAATGAAAACCTGTACCAAAATCTGATATCCTTTTGGTTACCTAACTCAAATTGTAGAAAATCAGTTTGAACTTTCAGACATTACTTTGAACAAAATTGTCTTTGAAATTCTTGTTTCCTCTTCAATCCCCTGCAATTAACAGCAAGATTGTCACGCATCAAAACACAAAATCGCAAGAGTCCCCAATGCTGACTTCAAACTCACAAAGTACAGACTTTGCGAATCTTGCCGATTACCAAATGGCAGCTTTTCCATAAATTCCTCTCAACTTAAGAAATACACACCATGATGATTTTTATGCAAAGTTCCGTTGAGCCATGACTCACCTCCAAGAAGTAGAACCGATACTGCCCTCCATCACTGTAGTCCTGGATGGATCCTGGAACATCATCGCCGCAGACGACCACCGGCTTGCCCTGAACCCCCGACAGGTCAACCGTAGCCTCTGCCATGTAAATACACACCAAAAAGAATGGATGACAACTGAACATACTCATCCATTAAGAGAAGATGGGCAAATCCGAGGTTCTCAAGACAGCCTAAAGCAGAGAGCAGTTATCGTTCCTATGGAAATAACAATCAACCATCCCCAGGTTGGATATAAAATCCTCAGCAGAATTGCTACTGACTGAACCGCTGTACAACCAACAAAGCGAAAGCACTTTCATCCAGCACAGCTCGCACTTCTGCCTATAAATTAACTTTTTACAAGAATTACAGTTGATAATTTGGCGGCAGCTGCATGCAAGATTTTTCATTCAGGTGACGATCACAGCCTGGACCTCCACAATAACAGCACTGGTGTTCTAATCTTCAAACAATTTATGAAGCTTGATATACTTTAAATGTCCTGAATGAAAAATTTTTTCTTGTAGGAGGGATTTGAACTGAGGGCCTACAATATCGTCGCATAGGTGTCCTACCCTCATTGCTCCAGTAAAGCAGGTTCAGATCCGACTGCTGGCCCGCTGAGGCACCCTTGTGGGTGTTCTCCGGCCGGTAGAACTTCTGTACTCGCAGCTTGATCTCGTCTGAGCCCTTGCGGGTGAAAATGCCAACGATGCGACCTATACGGAATGGCTCCGGACATTCACGGTTGTTGCCCTTGATGTAGTCTGAGGTCTTGCGGTAATACTCAGGGTGGAGCTCCTCATCCTGTCGTGGGGAGGGGAAAAAAACAAGAATAGATGAAAGTTTAACCCATTACTTTCAGTACAAGCTCTGGGATGTGGGAATGATTTATCCCTGAACAAGACGGCTGCCAAACAATTTCTTGTGGAAGGAAGACAACGCAGTCTATAGTATATATCACTAAAAAGTGATAGTATCTTTTGGCAAGAGCTGTGTGCATTAAGTTAATCTCAATAGCAGGGCTTGAATTGAATGACAGCCACATATAAATATTTGCATTTTGTGTGGCCTCTGTGCTCTTTCCCAATTTAATTTTTGGCCTTGGTGACCTACCTAGCCTACTGGCCTTGGTGCCCTCGAAAATTTTGCTTCATTCAAGACCAAAGTGGCCTTGCCCTGAAAAATACGAAATTCAAGGCCTACAATGGTAAGGCAGATTTCATGTTGAGGTCCTTGTTGGCGCTCTGTAACAGTCTCCAATACCAGTCTGATGTGTAAGTCACAGAAGTCTTACCACTTCTTTCTTGGCATTCTTCTTGGTGGGCCCCATCTTTGCTTTGATGTTGAAAGAGAAGGCATCAGGCATCAGGAAGACACTGTCACTGACGCGGTAGTCATTGCCTTGAAATGAACATGAACTGCAAATAAAAATAGAAAATTTGAGAAGAAATGTACAATTTTGCACTCGAAGCCCAAAGGCATCACTGCAGTTAATGCTAATTTATGGGCACAACAAAAAAATATTTTTCAGGTTAAATAATCTCTGATGAAACCCCCAAATGTCCAGTTTTGAAAAGGGAAGAATCACCACTGACATAAACCCACCTGTAATATATTTTGCCATCTCCATCTGGGTTTTTTATTTGTTCCCCAACCTGCGGAGTTTCTTTCTGAAAAACAGAAAAATCTAGAGAAAATTAGACAGGATAATTTTGCTGATTGCAACAGTAAACAGTTCAATGGCTTATCACCAAGGGCAAACATTTTCTCAGTTCAGGTTTTAAACCTAACCATGACGTCTCTTTGAGCAACTCCGAGTCCTACAAATTCTCCTTTTTCCGGAAACCGGTGACACAACTTCCTCTAAACCTCAATTTGAATCATTCAAAATGAACAGTAAGCCGCAAATAAAGTATAAGAGAGACATAACTTCCAATGAACACCACTTTCACTCAAACTCGACCACCTGGTCGAAGGGTAATGCATTTGACTCAACTAACAGGAAACAAAGTCATTTCACCTTCTGGATTTCCTCAGTCCTGATGCAAACTGCGCAGAATCTGTGTTTGGGGACCCCCTTGGGCCTCGCCACCGTCTTGACATCCTCGTAGCGCGCCAGCTCAGGATCATACCATTTCTGGTAAAAGAAGGTGCGGTGGTCGTCCTCCTCAATCACTGAATCATTTTCTGGATTCTCGATCCCGCCCAACGAGTACCAGTCGGGTGACGCCTCTTTGTAGATCACCTACAGGTAACACCAAACAAAAATAAATTTCATTTCACGAACATACATCTTCTGCTGAGTTTTGTCCTTAACCCAACTTGTTTCCAAAGTAAACGTGGGTTCTTGCACAGCTTTGGACAGGTAGGACTTTCAAACGAATGCTCAAACTGGATAATCAAAACTTTGCATTTCTTCCCATGGCTACTACCTCAGACCAAACAGGCAATTCTGGGAAAAAAGAAACCAAAAGGTCTTACCTTGCACTTGGAGCTGACGGAGGCAAGATAGGTGTCCTGGCATTCGTCCACTTGGAAGAGCTCCAACGGGTCTGAGGTCTCACCCAGCACCGTCTCTGAGCCATACCTGCAAACCATCAAGCCAGTATGTCAGAAACTGAAGTAGGCTTGAACGACGCATTTGCTAAATTGCTCATTAAGCAGCCTCATTTGAAAGCAGCATTACCTTTTTAGGCTCAAATGAGGGTAACATTTTCATGTTTATGTATTTATGTTAAAACCCCTGGTTCAAGATTATGTACCCAAGTTCATGTGCTAATCCAGCATCAGCTAAAAACCTGTGCTGGATACTACAGTTGGTTACAGTACAGCCGGTTTACCATTTTTCCCTATTAAAGTAATTAAAGTGTTTAAGCGATAGATGTGGCCCATGTTTTACTTACATGAACCAGTGTGCATGGAACATAAAGTCCTCTCCTTTGTCTTGGTACATGTACACCACCTTGGCAATGAACAGAGGCCGTTCAGGGTCATCAGGATGGACCAGGACGCAGTCACCGGCGTCGATTTTCTCTTCACCGACGAGGGCTGAGGCGTAGTAGCTGCGCAAGCCCTCCACTTTGATGGGGTCACCCAGCCAATCCACAGGGGTCTGAATATAAAAACCAAAACAGAGTTAGAATGTCGTAATATTAAGCGAGGAACTATTTTGCACCCTGCGCACTATTAGCACCATGCGTCATATGGCCACTCTTCTGTATCATTATGGCTGAATAAACACACAGCCAGGAGTGTCTGGGAACTTCATCAAACTTCACCTCACCTTGGCATCTATACAACACTGAAATCCCTTCAACTATCATTTACAGTAGGGCTGTGTATCTACACTAGGTACGGGTACCGGACTGCTGTCAGGAGCTGTTTCCAAATATACCCAGCAAGAAATGAGACCGAGGGGTACCCCCCAACATGTCCAATCCCTATACACATTCCAGACTATTGTTACTTAACACATCCCCCCCAAGATGTCTGAAAGGAATTCCCAGATTCCTGCGAGACAATGGGTAACACAAAGCAGGGGGGTTCTCTCCATCTCATACCTTGCTGCATATGTTTCCGAAGTACAGGGCAGGGTATGTATAACCCCAACTTTACAATGAAAAAGGAAGGTTTTAAAACGATTTCAATGGAGAATTTTGTTAATAAAATGTGGCTTCATAGTATGTGGCCAGGTTTGGATTAGAAAACTGTTTTCATATCCGTTTACAAAGGTTGTTCATGAGCATTTGGGGAAAGACAGAATCGAATATTTGAATGCAGATCTTCAGAAAAGCTTGCTTTTTTTTCCTTCTGTGAATTTTGGAGTAAAGATTCTCTTACTGCTACCCCGGTGTTTTATCTTGAAGGCAATACCTAGTTCCAGTACCTCCTGTGAATGCAGGGCACAAATTAACAGTAACAAAGGAAACATTGGCTTCTTTATAAGTTTTACCCTTTGTTTTCTCTTGGTCTCCAGGGCCGTCTTGTGGCCGCGGCGCCGCGTGTCCACAATGTTCTCCTCCTCTTCGTACTCAGTGTCATCATTGTCCTCGGCTTCTTTGACGGCCATGTTGGGGCATCGCCGGCTGATGCAGGCCTGCTTGCTCCGCCCTGTACCGCCAAACTTGATCATGTCCCTGCAGGCCACGCATTTGCCGCAATCGGGAGCCTGACACACCTGTAGGTGGGGCAGAGTGAGAGGAGAGAGGGGGCAGCAGCCAAAAATCAAGGGTTGAAATGGGGAGGTTATCAATCTACCAATCAAGTGAACAGCAGAAATTGTTGATTAATCTCCGTTTTCTGGAAAGAAAAGTACCAAGGCCAATTTCACAGCCATAAGAAGAGAACATATCAACTTCGAACTTTGACACCTCATTTGCAAGGTCTCTATCTCGACTGGGCTCCTCGGAAATTAGGCTTCATCCATTTGTTTTTTTTTCTCAGCACCAAATACAGCATTGCCATGCAACCTGCAACACTGGTACATTATTTCAAATCAAGTTTCATTCCAAAAAATTAAGATCTGGACAAATTCCTTGATAATTAAGTTTAAAAACCCTTTTCCCCCGGTTCCAAACATAGCACTGTTATGCAGTACCCAGACAACAGGAACAGCGACTTTACCTCACAAATGCCGCATCGCCTCTTGCGGATGATGTTCCCTTGCTCCTTCTGGATCTGTCCCTTGAAAAAGATGTCAAAGATGTTGCGGACCAGTGGGGTGACGGTTGCCATGGAGCGTATGGCTCTCCTCTCCACCTTGGGCTTACGGGCAGCCTTGCGAACTGCTCGTCTTAAATTGGGGGAAAAATTGAAATTTTGGAAGACGTTAAACCTTGAATCATTTGTACCTCTTTCAACAGAGACTCAATTTACTTGTAATCTAAGTTTGATAGGGAAAGGGTTTACGAAATAAGAGATCCACCGCACAATCTTCAGAGGATGATCACTCAAATTCTAGGCACAAATTTGACAAGTCATGCACCCTCACCCCAAACAGTAACCCCAAAAAATCTTAAGAATGTTTGGCTTAGGTGAAAAGGTTTCATTTGCTCCTCTGTATAACATGTGAGTTTCAATGGACAGCTCTATTTGTGGAGAAAATGGACAACTAACACTTGATTTGGTCCATGCCAACTTCCGTTATGAAATTCATGGAATCATGGTTAGGCCATGTTGTCATGGCATTGTTACTGTCAGGCTGTGTCTTAGAAGTAGCTCTGAATTACATCAGAGTGTTTATAGTCTGAAGTAAAGACTGCTGGTATCTTGTTAACAATTGCTTCTCTACGATGAGTGTAATGGGGGAGGGGGGCAACATCAGCCAACCTCTTTCCCAGGGTGACACCAGCCAGCTTGATGAGATCCCTCATGCAGGGCGTGGTGATGAGTAGAGTTTCTTCTTCGTCTGCTCCTTCGTCGTAACTCTCCACCTACAAATGTTAAAATGCATCCCAAGAGATGGCAAATTTCAGAGGCAAAATTCTAAACCTTCAATGTTGGAGGGACAGCAAAGCTCTTTTGGAGAAAACCCACCCAAACCAACATTACTTATGACTTAAAGTGCTATCTAAATAAGGTAAATGTTACAGAGAGATAGGAGGTTCAAACACGGTATTCATGAGGACATGAGATATAATTCCAGACTGTCAAAAACGTGAGAAATAAACCCCCAAATGATAAGGCATTTTACAATCACATCACTGGTCTGGAAGGTAAGAGGTAATGCCACAAACCTGTTCAACAACAAACTGAGCATGACGCAGAAGCGAGTCCTCGGTGAAACTACTGCAGTTCTCTGGAGGCACGGTGGTCTGACAGAGAAGAAAACAGAAATCAATTCAATTGCTAACAAAATCTTAAAGGAATGAATAGCGAAAAACAAAGAGGGCAGGAACTTCATGGAGGCAATAGCCTTAATGCACCTGGTCTTTGCTTTCACTGCCCACTGAAACGTCCCCATAGACAGGTTGATTTTCTAATACAAGTGGCCTTAGCAAATAAGAAATTGCCTTGCCCCTTTAAGAACGAAGTTCCTGCCCTGAAGATCCCACACTGATTTATCTAAAACGGGAACAACAAAGAAACAACACAAAAGCAGGTTGCTTGAAGACCTTAAATGCCTCAAAAGTCTGACACATTTCCTCAGGCCGTTTTTTTTTTGGCTTCGCTATACGGAGGTTTTTCTATACCTCAATCTGGTTGATGAGGTCCTCGTACTCTGCCTCAGGGTTGTTCTGCAGGAACTCAATCAGGATCTTGCTCATGTAGATCTTCTCCTGCATGGCCTTCCAGAACGGCGTGTATGCCTCGGAGGGTGCCATCAAGATGTACTCGGCAAAGGCTGAGAAGGGAAGCAAAGATAGAAGCCATGATGAATGGGACTGAATACTGCAAAACATGACGTATGCTTAACAGGAAAGATGACAACTTGAAAGAATCCAGCAAAGCGGACAAATTGAAGATGACAAGGTTTTTGCATTGCTCGCAAGCCACATATCCCAGAGCCAAGAACATGTCACTAGATGCACATCCTATTTGCTTTGTCACTGTGTGATAGGTCTGCTCAAAAGTTGACACAACAAAACGGCAACCTTCAAAAACTGATGCCTGAAGTTGAAACAAATTCGAGAGTTCAATCTAAGTCTGGCTGCTGGCTTACCTGTTCCAAATCCAATCAAGGCCTTCTCTCCCCCATCAAATCCGGCCGTCCACCATTCATTGATTGGCCCCATGGCCTTGGTAGGAATACCGCCTAATGCAGACAAAAGCAGAAAACATGAAAGAAAACAGCAACACAGGTACTATGCTCTCCTACTCAAACTTTCCGTAATTTAATATTTGTGGCACAGTTAAGATTAGGTTCCATTCTTACATCAAGAGGGCAACTCTACAATTTTGGCCTCGGAAAAGGAAAAAATAGGTACTTCCAACATGCAAACGAGACCCGATGTTTTCAGCTGCATATGGAATTGATGAGAATTTTTCTTTAAATGGGGGAAGAGGTAAGACAGACTGCTTCTAAAGCTCTGCAGGCTTTATCGTTTTTACCCTCAGTGCTGGAGTTGTCATCATAGATCGGCTTGACATAACCACTGAAGAATAGCTCCTTGTTCTTCTCAATAAGTCCCGAGTCAAAGGGGCAAAGATGCGTGTTTTTGTCATAAACACTACAAAAAGGATAAAAACAAAGAAATGGCAGATTCTTCATCTTTTGGGAAACCTATTCCGACGGGATTTTCTAGAAAAGGCTACCCTGATTTTCAGTTGATGAAAATCATAGCATTCCTGCATTCCATAACATTCCATGTTCCATCAACATAATAACTTGAGAGGTAACAAATCACCTTTCAGAAGGAAAAAGTCCTGGAAATATTTTCCAAAACGACAAAGACTGAAAGATAAACTCACCAGAAATTTGTGATTTTAAACTGCAGTCTTTCATCATACCCCATGGCTTCCTGTTCATCCCCGCTAAGTAGCGACAGACTCGGGTCGGTGAGGGTCACAAACTCTTCACGCTAAATAAAATTAGGACAAATGAAATCAAAGAGACTAAAAAATGACTATAGTCTTAACAAAGAATGTTTAATGCAATGTCAAACACACCAAACAGAATCAAAAAGTGACCCAAGGAAATGTAATCAGTTCAAAGGGAATGAGAGATCGCATTTAAAAATATTGAACCCTTTAAATGACAAATAAAAATCAGAAAAAGCAAAGATATACTAACAGCATCTTCTGGGTCACCGGGAAACATCTTCAGGTCAGGATCGTCCAATAGTTGACGGCAATCCTTGCAGCGCGGTGGAGCTTGCTGGAAAAGGATAAATCGTCATCTCATTCAGAATCAGATTTTTCTCAAAGCCTCTTAAACTTACAAACTTTTCAACAAATTTTACTAACAACAAATGAGGCCATTAGAGGGTAAAAAAAAGATAGGAATGTTCATTACCTTTGCAGGTGATTTCGGAATGTTTGCTGGAGTTGTGGGCTCTGGCCTCTTCCGCAGTTTCGGCCTGTAAGTTGAAAAATAACAGTGACGGTGGAATACTTCGTACAAATACGAATACAAATTAGTACTCATGTGTGAAAGAGTGCTTGAGTAAATGCCCCAAGGACACTACCAGTTAACAATATCTACTCCACAATTTTCCAAATGAACATACCCATCTTGGAATTCATCTTTCACTTCACCATTAACATGTTTTGCGATGTCTGTGTCAGTTGTCTCGTCTTCGACAGACTCATCATCCTCCGTCTTTATCCTCTTCTCCTCTTGACCTCTGACCTCCTCCTTGACCTCTGAACTCCCACTACTGGTGCTTGCCGGCATCTCGTCAGACATACTGCAGCAGGATGTAATCTCCTCACTCTTGCGTTTGGCGGGTCTGAGGGGAAAAAAAGCAGATGCATGACCATGATTCCACAATTCTTACTGCAATCGATCAGTTACCCTACATGTAGCCCAGCGGTTGTCTCGCTCAGGAAGTCACACGTCTGTGAGTTTTAAAAGAGGGAAATGTATCTTGCTATTTTTGTATTGACTCAACACATTAGACATGCAGAAGTTATGTTTATGGCATTAAAATGAATAATTATAGCTTTGTGTCATTTACTGTGGTACTTCTAGTGATGTATTCTTCTATACTTTAGCTTAGAAAGTTAAAAACAAGGCAGGAAAAATATTTAAAAACTTGGCTTCAAAAAAAAAGGAGTGATTACACCTTATTGCAAAGAACGTTAAAGGAACTACATAATTATATTTTCCAAAAACTGGCCTCTCTGGAGAGGCTCTAGGAGTGCTTACAATTTGGAAAACATGCTGAGGAGGCTCTTCTGTTTCGGGTCGACCTTCGGTGACCTCTTTCGTTTGATAGAGCCAGACTGGGAGGTGGACTTGTCATCTTCTGGGGGACTCTCGGTCGAGGATGATTTTTCCTCTTCGCCAAGGACTTTCCTCTTCCTCCTTCGGGCCTTTATCCCCTTCTTGACCTTCTTGTCTTCAGCTGGGGAGTCAGTGTCCATCTCTTCCTCTGACTGGCTGGTGGTGGTGGAGTCATCCCTGCCGGCATCGCTGCCATTGCCATTGTGCACGCTGCCGTTACCATTTGCCAAATGGCCATTCTCAGCAGGTGGGGTCGTCACATTTCCATTCACAGTTGGGTTGGGCGGCTCTTTGAGTGCATTGGTGAGCAGAGTGTTAACTTTGGACAAGTATCCTTTCTGTGAAGTCATTATTCAAGACAATATTTAAGTTGCCTTTCTGAAATTGTCTGACGTCAATAAAATCAAGCAACTAACTAGCTTCTAGGTCCAGAGTGCCGAACCCTTAAAATCCATGCAAAACTGAAAATCACTTTTTCTAGAAAGTATAGTCGGGTAAAGATGACTTACCTCTGTCAGACTTTCGTCTTTCAGCTCTTGATCCAATTCCTTCAAACTGTAAAAAGGCAATACCACAACTAAGTGACAAGTCACTTTGGCAAAGTATTTTCTTGGCACCACAAACCACTCAGACATAAGTTGGCCGTTTACGAAAGCATTATGAATTCATGGACTAAATTCGCCAACAAGAAGCAGAGTAAATCATTGGGAATCTTGTTGGGTTTAGCATGATCAGGTTTAAATTTCAGGGGTAAATATTAATAGCTGACGGAATGATTTCACTAATTTGAATGCTGTAGGCCTTTTCCAAACATTCTCCCCCCCCCCAAAATAATATCCCTCCCCAAAAGTTCAGAGTTTTGCATTTGTTGACTTTGTAAAGGTAAAAAAGATTACATTGCATAATCCACACTGGATACATTACCTTGCCTGGGTGTCTTGGGTTAGATGTTCAAAGAGCAGTTTACACTTCTTCTTGATGTATCCCTTTAAAAATAAACACAGACAGACTAAGGTTAATTCTTACACCGCATATGTTTCCACTAAAAATCTGTCTGAATGCCGAGATTAATGGCTGAGCAAGGAAGCCATGGCATACTGATTTGCATTTCCACAAACCTCTAGCACTCCTTGTCCAAAAAAGTGATTTGGTATGGACTAATAGACCTTTTTCACCCATGTTACTGGATTGTGCTAAATGTAAAAAATACCACCCTGTGTGCTTCAGCCACATACAAGCTATCCACTCATTAATTACCCTCACAACACATCACAGCCCAGCATGAGTGTGACATCACAGGAAAAAGGTTTATACAGAACTGATGGGTGAAAATTTAGGGTGCATTCCTTTTAATAAATCTTGATATGAAACTCAGTTTCCTCAAACAAAACAAAGACAAAAAATACCCTTCCCACCTTCTCAGTCAGGTCGCCATCCTTGAAGTCCTGATCTAGATCCTTCAGTCTGAAATCGACAAATTTAAAATTAAAAGCAGTAACTCCTTGCCTAGAGTCAGTTTTCCGCATCTAATTTAAACACTGTATATGGTCGTGGTGTTCTTTTTCTTAAAGTATGATAAGGTTGTGTTTTGTGTTCTTAAACACTGCGATCCAGTTCCTGCATGTAACAACAGAGGTTGTGCCTAACAACTGGAAAGACTGTGACACAACACATTCCAGTCATAAAATGTCAAGAATTCCTGTGGGTTTTACTTGGGGTCAGTACTTTACTTAAAGTGGCAATAGTTCAAGAGCCACAGATCTGGCAGTCTTTATGCATAACTGCATTTTGGGAGTGTGAGGTGTAAAAACTCACTACTCTCTGTCAACTTTATCAACAAATACATGTATCTGATGTCATTCTACAAACCAAAACTTTGAGAGAGTACCTTTCAATTCTTCCATCACACCACCTGAGTAGGCCAGAGTTATACCCATTGTGGATATGTTGCAAAAATGCATGGCCAGTTCAGTGACCAGGTTCCAATTCAGGAAACCTCACGGAGAGAGTAATGCATATGCTAACCACTAGTCGTCACACTCAGTCAGGTCAACAGGGGAACTCAGTGCAGAAAGAATTCCATGCCAGGACATCAATCGATACAGTGCACAAACCCATGAGCATGACGAGTCTGGTCTGAATAATCTGAAGTGTTTTCAAAGTAAATGCTTCAATATTCCTGCGAACTTTGACCTCTGTGATGGTCGATATGCCACTGCAGGGAAAAATTAGTGATACATGTGTACGTACCCAGCAAGAAATGAGACAGGGGTACCCTCCACACACACACATCCAATCTATATACACCCTAGACTATTGTCGCCCAACACATCGTCTGAAAAGAATTCCTGAGGTTCCGGTGAAACAATGAGCAGCAAGGGGTTTTCTGTGTCTCTTGCTTCATATGTTTGTGTAAGGCTACGGAATTCTTCCCAAACGTCTCTCACCACTTGACCCTACGAGACTTACCATTGCTCGGTATTACATTCATAGTGTATTCATTTCTGTTGTGGGAAGAGTTCCATATACAGATGCCAGTAATTATTCCCTAAAGTGACCTGGTCTTAGCCATCAGAAAGCAAAAACATGTCCAGAAAAGTTCAATTTAGGAGAGAAAACACCAAGTCGTTTACTGAGAAAGCACTCCAGATTTTTCAGACCAGTCTTATAGGGTTTGTGCATTATCATTATTTATTTACACCAAAATGACAAGGACAAGCAAAAGCTGTTGGGTCCGAGTGCATGAGCACACTGTTCAAGTGTAAGTGATGTCTGTGGAGCAAGTTCCATCTTGCACGTGGCTTGCGGTAATCTTTGGTACGACCCACGCTACCTTCTACACTGTATTCACTGACTCTAGCCTTTATTAGATCCGAAAAATTGTTGCTGAATATTTACTGAATGAAAAGAGAAACCAGAACATTGTAAAGATTGCGTATGCTTTTTCATTAGAATTACTTTTTATAACATATTTGTTTTCATATTTCTCTGCACTATTTCCTTCATTTTTAAAGAGAACAGAGTTCTCTCTGCTTCTTTCTGTACCGTTGACCACATCAAAGAGGTTAATTGACTAATGTAGAATGGTTTGGGTTTCCCTTTAATGTTACTCTTCAAACATGTGACAATTCCATATTAATTGGATGTACACATATTGTGTCCGACCACAGAAAGATTTGAAGTATCAAACTTCTTTCATTGTTGATATTACTACAAGTACATATCATGCAATTCTCTTATAATTAACGTTTTCACAGTGACTTTCGTCATCTTAGGAGTTATGTATTTAATTTCTCAATTCTTGTGTAATTTTTAGATGAACTATAAAGCAAGCGCAACTGTTCACGATGAGAAAGGAGAGCTGATGATCTATGTCAGGGTTTGGATGGAGATGTAACTTGTCAATGAGGCAGGGCATGTTACGTTCACCTGCTAAATGGTTGATTTCTTATATGTGTAACCAGTAAGACAACATGGAGTCATACTATGTCATTGCACTCTCGTGAATATTGTGAACAACTGTCATGTGATGAGAGCAACCGGTGTTTTCCATGTGGCCTAATTATCATCTGCATTTTCATCTTGATGAGAAATTGGTTAACAGTCTGAGAACATTATGCGCAGTTCGTTTTATTTGTCCACATGCTAATAATTAATGTTCCAAACATGGTTAAATCCAGTATGAGACGACATTAATTAATAAATATTTTAACTGCTTTTTATAGCTATAAGAGTACATTACATTTAATCATTACATTTAATAATGTAATCAAAAAATGGAATTGTCTACATGAAAACGTACTTCATAATAGCATGTTAGCTTATTTTCTCTAAAATGCATCTACAGCTAATCTTATCTGATGCTTGTCTTTGTAAATCAGCTGATCAGGAAGAGTAAAGAGACGATGCGGTGTTAGTGTTAAATTAGTGCTTTTCTGTCATAGGTCGAAATGAAAGTTTGTTGAAACAATAACATTCTATTCACAGCAATCTTTGATGCACTTTGATTTTATATTCCAATAATAGGTTACGGAAGTTGAAAGTATAGACATAATTATTCAAAACACAGAAAAATATTACAGTTCATATTCGTGAAAACGGATTGCTTTCTTGTGAAACAGGTTTATACTATTACAAGAGAAATACCGCCACTACAGTGCACAAAAATATTAATAAATCTGAAAATCGGCCAAAAATCT